AGAGTCCGTGGTCGGAGCCATGGTCAAAGGAGGGGCTGGGGATGGCAAAACAATAAAATCAAATTTACATAGGCTATTTGATGAAGGGGCAATCCAAAGAATTGATCCCACTTGGCTGATCCAAAGAGAGTACTCAAAAGGTTTGCACCCCAACCAATCCCATGCCCGTTGTTGTTGTGGGGGGATGAGATAGTTCTCTAGGGAGGAGGACAATAAAGATGATCAGTAGTAAAGAGGGGGGAGATGGTAGACAATGAAGAAGACTGGAGTGGAAAATGTTGGAAGAGAGGAAGGGATTACATTCTGAGATTGAGTAATGACCTGGTGGGTGGTTCAAAATGGATATTGTCAGTAAACATCAATGAGGGAGTATTAGTATCAGTGGATGGAGCCATGGTTAAAGGATAGGCAGGGGTTGCAAAACCAGTGAAATCAAATTCAGATAGGCTAGTTGATGAAGGGGCAACCCTTAATACCCCAAATAAGGGTAAAACAAATTCATTATTGGCCATGGTGAGCCTGAAATAAGTGGGGGGAACATACGGATCCCCCCAAGGGGTAAGAGCAAGGCAATCAAATAAGGAAATACTATGACCATGGCTCCTGGAGGCTGATACAAAAGCAGCCTGTCATCCTTTCAGCACACACCTTAGAAAGTGGACAGGAAAGGATGAAAGGATGACAGGCTGCTTGGCTCCTGGAGGCTGATACAAAAGCAGCCTGTCATCCTTTCAGCACACACCTTAGAAAGTGGACAGATGAAGGGGATGATGAAGAGAAGGAAAAGGAATGGGGAGAGGAGAGGACCGTGTAAAATTAATTGAGCCATGGGCTGAGGCCCAAGGTAGGGGTGATCCCTACCTAGGGCCTTAGTCTCCATATCCTAAGCCCCTCTATGACAACAACAAAGTGGGGATTGGGGGGAATCATAAAATAAAATGAATAAAAAAATATTACATACACAAATTTAGTCTAACAATGTCCAAGAGACCTACAACCTAGGCCACATACACTATTACGCTAATCAATGTTTAATCTATTATTGTTATTACTAATAACTTAGTTGCTATTATTATTATCGTTATTACTTTCATTATCATTAATATAATTATCATCTTCATTTTCATTATTACCATAATCATCAATATTCTTACCATTACCAATATTAATTTCATTATCTATATTTCACTATTACCATCATTACCACTATCACTGCTGTTATTGTTATTTCTATCATCATAATTATCACTACTATTTTTCCTTTTTTATCAATGATATTACCATCATTATTACTATCATTATCGTTATCGATATTTTCCCCCCTTATTTATCAATATCCTTATCATCAATAATATATACATATATAATATATATATATAAATATATATATATATATATATATATATATAATATATATATATATATATATATATATATATATATTCCTCGAGCAGTTAACTCTGCATACACCCTGATATGTTGATCTCCACAACAATCAGGGTTCCTGTCATAATTTGGTTAAAACCAATAAATCAATTAATAAATAAATAATTTTTCTTTTTAATGCAATCATGGAAATATTTGATTGTATAAGTTACCAAGAGTATTGCAAAGAGATAGGGGGAAATGGATACAGCATCTTATAAACCACAAGAAATATAGTAAAAACAACATAGGTACAGCTGCAGTGGCCTAAAATTTACCGCGAAATGACAAAAATGTTCACTGCATATCACCACAACACCACACAGCCAGAGTTATTAATGTCTGTTTTCTATAAGTTGGTATGAAGTGCTAATAAATGGGGGGTACAGGAGGGCTTGCCTCCCTGTCTAAGGAATAAATAGAAGGTAGAAAGGGTCAAATTGGGTTTTGGGGTTCACATGATACCCTGGTTTTGGTAACAATTACCTATTTGGCTAAGGGCCCGGGTGACAGTGTAGTAGATGGGTTGTGCATCTACTACTTGAACTGGTCAGTATCTCTTAAGGGAGTAATCATTGTGATGTGAGTTCCCAAAGGTATGGCTGGATACTGAAGGTGAGTGGAGATCGATGGGGGAGCCTGTTAGGTTCCTCGACGGCAAAGGCCTGGGCCTAGTGTTGCTGCTGCTGTTGCCAAGTTCAATTAAAGGATCAAGGGATGCTGGAGCTTAAGTACTGTCAAGCTAAGGCAGCTATCCAGGAATAAGAGGTGCCTGCGGTCCAATTAGCGAGCTGTGAGGTGTCTGTGTCATCCAATCAAGTCTCAACATTGAGTCATCAAGAAGTGGCTGATGGTTAGGCGCGAGGACAAGACTGCGGAACTGTGTGACCCAACCATAGGGTTAGGGAAATGACTTGCAATGAGTGCACAAAGATCTAGGATGAAAATCAGACTCAGTCTAGAATCTTTTCTTTCAATAAATGAGTGTGGAATATATTATTCACAAACTATAACTGGAAGACCGCTGGCTCCAGGGAAAACACTATTTCCACGCTCAGGATCCTATTCCTGCCCACCTTGACCGGCATTACAGGGTGGATATCAAATCACAAGTACAGACCTTAGAAAAAAGCAAAACAGTAGAAAATGCTTTGCAGCAAAAGATCTAAAAACATTACTAAAAGGTGGCATGCAGTCTTGACCCTGCATACAAGTGTTCATGTGGGCTGAGCCTACTAGCCACACACCTGGGAGAGTTGACACTTGAGTATGCCTATTGCTCAAATTTTGGGTGAGGTAACAAGGCCCCTAGATCAAATAGGTTAATCATAATAATAATAATTATCATTCTTATCATAGAAAGATAAAAAATACAACAATAACAATAATACAATAAACAAGTAATATGATAATTCAAATAAAAAAATTATCAAATTATATCCTTATTCATAAGTATACCTATCATATCATCATAAAAAAAATTAAGCGAATGAGAGAATTGTGTGTGTGTGTGTGTGTGTGTGTCCAAGCGAGTATAGCAATATGACAGTAATATTAGTTCGGTAATTACTGACAAATATCATATGATAAGCAACTGCATTACATCTGATAGATCACGATTTTTCTGTTCCCTAGTACTTAATGACAAGAATTATTTGTTTTTGAGAAGTAGCACATATCAGTGATAAGACTTGCAACCAAATGTAGGTAAAGGTAGGACTAGTAATTGACTCTTTAGTGACTAATCACATGTGTAAACATAATTCACAAATCAAACTCACTGAGTCCATGGCATGTACAGTTGCAGACATATCCAACTAGTACACCCCTACGGTGCACGGACTAAATTTTTTCTGGTAATACATGTGTAGTATTCAGTATTTTGTGAATGGAATGCTCTTATTTGTATGGAAGTCTGTGATTGGGGCTTGGTATTTTGCAAATATATTCCCTTAATATCAATCATTAGAATTATGTTAAAAAGTTTGGAAACACCTATATTATTGCTTGAAATATGTGGTGTTTTCCTTACAAAATTAGAAAAGAATAATTGGAAATGGTATAACTGGCACCTGTAACACAATCACAATAGCCAAACATCGGTGACAATATTTAATCTCAAATTATACTTAAACAATAAATGTACTTGTAAAAATATATGTAAGAGTTTTCGTTAAATTTACAAATGTAAAACACATTATTTCAAAAAGGTGAAATATTATCTGTAAATGTAAATCATAAGGTTTTCTCACCCGTTTCCTTGTCTTTGCACAGCTTCCTTATAGAATTTATGAATGGCAAAAGGCCCAATTGCATGATGGGTTGCTCATGCACACTCAAGTCACATCCCTTCACTATCAAGATTTGCAGAGAACATTAGGTCAGAAATTTCTGACACAATCACAGGGGTCTGTTTATTAAGCATATTCTGATATTCATATTTCCAAAGTCGATATTCATACTTCAGACTCTGTAACATAAAATGTCATTGTCATGTAACCATTACCCTCTCACTCTCTCTCTCTTTCTCATATATATAGAGATGGAACGTCCTTAACAACCAAGTAAGTGTCATTGAAGATTACTAAACTAGCAACTATTGCTTAAAAGACTGGTTTACTATTTATGAAGTGGAGAACATTGTGACGAATCAAACTCTTCAAAACTAATATATTTTATGACTAACATATACAAAAAATAAATGTATATATATATATATATATATATATATATATATATATATATATATATATATATATATCTATTTTTATATACATATACATATATATATATTATATATATATATATATATATATATATATATATATATATATATATATATATTTTATATATATATCTGTAATTTGCTAAAAATGACTATTTGGACTGTTAGAATATTTTTCAATAATAAAAATACAACAACTGAGTAGTGGATACCTAGCAGTGTCAACCTGAGGTCTGAAAGGCAGAGGAAGCCTCGAAATGAAAATAAAAGCAGTGAAATTGCACTATTATTATGAGATGATATGTATATATGTACATATATGTTCATACAGATAAGAATATATATATATATAAAAAATATATTCATATACATATACACATGTATTTACACACATACATATATATGAACATATAAAATATATAGGTAATTCTTTCTAACATGACCGCACCCATCGGAGACTAAGTCCCTAACTCCAGTCAACATTCTTGGGGATCCTATGGGGAATTGGGGGTTCTAAGGGGGGGGGTATGGTTGATTTCGCCCTTAGCAGGGATTTTAAAAGGCAAAGAAAGAGTAAAAATGAAAAACCTAAGCCAAGGTTTAGCCAGGAAGAATTGACATCGCTTTGCGCAAACAAACAAATGAGTGAACAAACCCGGCCTAAATGCACAATCTATCACAAAACTGTCATAGCAACCAAAGAACTTCCTAACCTTGGGGCTCTGCCCCTGGAACCCTCCCTATCACCATGTTTCCCTAATCCCTCCTGATAGATATTATTTATTTATTTATATAAAAAAAAAAAAAAAAAAAAAATATATATATATATATATATATATATCTGTATATA